ATAATGGATAAGATTTTATTTTGATAAATCACACAGTGTTGTACAGTTATATTAACCGATGACGTTTCGAGCACAAACTATTGCTCATAATCATAGTTTGTGCTCGAAACGTCATCAGTTAATATAACTGTACAACACTGTGTGATTTATCAAAATAAAATCTTATCCATTATGGTGTTATACTCTACTACAGTGCCCAAGTTTTATACTTATGACAATTACTCAGTTATATAAATAAAAGTACATACTAATGACCAATCATGTTTAAACAGGTCAAGGTCTATTGTTTTTTGTACACTCAGTTTAGGATATATGTGATTAATCCAAAAAGTGCTTGTCCCATCATCTTTAATTATCAACCTTGAATTAAAGCTATGTGAAATAATTGTGAAGAGGTCATTAATATTGATTTTGTGATCTGACATTAATAAGTGCTTTGCAATGGATGAAAATGGATGGGATTTTCTTTGTGTTTTAATAACCATTTTGGAACATGTTCCTTTTAACCACACGACATTGGAACATTCTATTGGATCTATCTATATAGGTGTCATCGCAACTGCAGGTGAGATTGTAGATACAGTTTGAAGTAGAGTCCACAGAGTTTCATCCTTTAATCGTAGGTACAGGGATCGAAAATGTTCGAGATGTGAGGGACAGAGATACGAAGTAGAATGTTCACTTGATGGATGACCGAAGTCTTTGAGCTGTCAACTGCATAATCTGGTCACTCTTGAATGATAGGTTAACAAAGATCGCTTTCTTCGGTACAGAGGCTGTCTTTTCGATATATGGTCCTTCTTTATTGTGACAAGTGATACAGTTTTCTGGATAACCATTAACTAATAAAACTAAATGTATATGTCGAAACTCATCCATCACTGTGTCACTCGTGCATATTTTTCGGGCCCTTGTAAACAAACATTTCACTAGGGAACGTTTATACTGGATAGGAAAAAAACTGGTGAAATGAACATATTGTGCACTCTATATCTGTATACGAAAAATAAATCGTTTAATCCTTCCATCGTCTCTTTTGGTCATTGGAATATCCAGGAAACCGAGTTTGTTATTCGATTCGAGTTCGGAAGTCACTCAGATATTTGGATGGATATGATGAAATAGGATAATAAAGTTTTCAACAGACTTACTGTTATTACTATTATTAAGTGCCTTATTCAAATTTATCAAACGGACTAATTGTTTTAAAAACAGAGACATAAGTTTAAACAAGGGGAGAACGAACGTATTCGCAAGATAAAATAGTTCATGTATTTATCACTTCTCATGAGCTTGTGATACGAAGTACTTAGATAGGAGCATTTATTGGATTTTATGACTTACCTGCGAGAATCTTCATATGGAAAGTAAGAAAGTGCTTGCAAGTACAGTCTCCATGCATCGGATTGACACGGAGCATTCAACTGAAATCAGTCAATTTTTCAATATATATATATATATATATATATATATATATATATATATATTTATATATATATATATAATAAGACGATCACTATTGAGAGAATTGACTTTTATGATGGCCATGGTAAAGACAACGGTTGGACGCATTTCTTTTGAATATATGGAGTGGGCTTGAACTTTAGGATCGCTAGCAGCTCAGCTATGCCCAGCCAGATGCCTTGATTTCACTACCTTTGAGAGGTTTGATCGTATCTTGTATATGACTTTGAAGGATATTTCAAATGGAGCTGAATTTTCTTAATTATGATGTTGTGCTACGGAAATACATACACCTTTAAGTTCTATACATTCTTGTTTATTGTTCCATCTTATTCTCTCCTAGGTTTTTCACAGAAAGGATTATGTTATATTACGTAGTACTTTGAAGGCTGAGGGTAGGATTAGTGACACCTTAATTTTTGCAAGCAATCGAATAAAGTCGTCTTGTCTGATACTCAACATCCGCCTATTTAGTCCCAACTCCTTCTTTGTACTTTTTCGTGTAAAACTATGAAAAAAAAGTTCATAAGAATTGATACTCATACGGCTTAATATAAACATTCAACCATATCCCATTTAGAAGGAGTGATGTATGGAGAGACAGCATATCAGAAAAGAGCATATATGCCTAATTTATATTCTGTAAGTAAATAACAACTTATTCCTAGCATTATTATTGCACATACTGAAAAGGCTCGAAAACATAATGCTACAAAACATCAAACCCAAAATTTGGATACATTACTTAGAGGACACATTTGTAATAATCAAAACAAACGAGTTGGATAAAACTCGTCTTCAACAACATCAAATTCACAAGAGATGAGGAATCTGAGAGCAAAATCCCATCTTTGGACGTCTTAGTCAAGCGAACAACCACAGGGGAATTAGAAACTCAAGTCTATAGAAAATCAATTCACACAGACCAAATACTGAATTACAACAGCAACAGTCCAATAACACAAAGGGAATTGTATACAAACACTATTCAAGAGAGCCAGGACTCATTGCAGCACTCACAACTTAAGGGAAATTAAAGAAAGATATCTCATGGACGTCTTCCAAAAGAATGGATAGCCACAGAATTTCATCAAAAGACATATACCCCAAGCCAACCTATCAAATCAAAGGCCCCCAAGGAAAGCACAAAGAAAATCACCCTACCATATATAAAGGACATCTCAGAAATCACTGCAAGACTCTTCAAACCTTTAGGAATTGACGTCGCACACAAACCAACAAAATCACTTCACTCAGCTGGTTCTATGTCAGCAAAAGACTCAACAACGAAAGAAGATAAAACCAACATCATCTACAAAATAAATTGTAACAACTGCGAAAAACACTACATTGGCCAAAGTGGACGTCTCCTTTGTCTTCGTATCCATGATCATAAACTAGCCGTCAAAAGACATGACATCCACTCCCTCACTCATATCGCTGCATACAGACAACCATGGACATCAACTCGACTGGGACAACCAGTGTTCATATATTAGACAGAGGAAACACTAAGAATGCTAGAGAATTTTTAGAAGCCTGGTATTCCAGTGAATCGTCAATCAATAGACACATCAAGATAGACAAAATTTACCAACTGATAAGAAGGGAATCTCACACACAAAGGGTCAAAGTTCAAGTCAAAGAAACAATCAGTACCAATACCAATACAAGTAGCCTAGAAGGTGTGAAAACACACAAAAACAACCAATCACGTTCAAGGTCAGGTGATCAGGAGAGATGACTAATAAACTCGTGGAGAAATCTAAAAGCTCACTTCAACGAATTGAAGTATGCGCTGAGGTGTGGATGTTGCCTAGTAGGGCAATGAAAGCTTCGCAAAATAAACTATCCAGCTCAGAGAACACACCTACATCAAAAACATGCTCTTCCTCAATTAACTTCAGTTTTCGCAGTTTGATTATTATTTCCTATTTTATTTATTTATTTGTAAAAGGAGATATGTTCAAACGCTGAAAATTCCATTGTGCATCAAAAAATTATTGTTTAGAATAAAGTGATTATAAATTCTATATATATATATATATATATATATATATATATATATATATATATATATATATATATTAGGAAATTCAAGTATTGGTTAGGAGGGATTTTATCGACTGGCTATAGGATTCCATCATGAGCTGACATCAGTTAGTGAACCATTGGAAAAGCACCTGAGAGTACTGTACAGTTTGGGACTCTTCAGCAGTACGCACCCACTACAGGAGGTTCAAACCCAAGACCTTCTGGTTACAAGGCGAGCTAGCTCGTAGACAGTTAAGCTACTGGGACTTGGTCTAATAGCCATTGTCATCAGTGGAGATTGTTTGTCCTCGCACTCGACCTGCTGCACCTTACTGGTCACGACTTCCCACTAGAACCCATATAACTACCCACCTAAATTGGGCCAGTCGCTGGTGAACATCTCATTGATATTCAAGTATTGGTTTATAGAGATTTGATTGATTGGTTATAGGATTTCATCATGAGAAAATTATAAAGCAATTAATAATCAAAATCATATCATATTCCTTCTAAAACATGAATCTATAGACCAGCGAAAACGAGATTTATATTTTCCCGTAAACCCTAGCAGCATCTGAACAACAATGTCACATCTCACGGTGTTTATCAATGTATACATCTATGTGTTTACTCACACCTACAGGGAGCGAGGACTCATCAATCGCCGCAGATCAGGGCTATAGAATATATTCCTAAGTCTAACATCATCTATGTTAAAGTACATCACAGGCACAGGTCATAAAGTTGATTTCAGTAGTGACCTTAAACTCATACATAAAACAAGTTTGGGTCGTATTGTGGTGAGAGCTGACTGCTAGCCAAATTGGTAGACAGTAATTTACGTCAATGTTTACGTCCCCAATATTGGTCGTGAGAAAAATAAGAACAAAGACTGATTCAACAACCAACCACAGCAGACTTTGCGTAGGCGGATACAGTTTACAGATAGATAATCTGAACTTCAATAAACGGCCACAAAAAAATGAAAAATTAACGTTCAACAAGAAACCGCTAATCAGAAGACTGTGTTTCTTTGCTTATAATAATCTATATTAATGTACATGAAAATCTATAAATATCTGTTGATTTCCTACATAAACGATCTGTTGCCTGGCCCTTGTCTGCTGTTGTTACAGTATAATTAAATTAGCTGAAACCTTAATCATAAAGAAACTTAAATCTATTTCATATCCAAAAATTTTTCATCAATCCCCGAATCTGCTCTAAGGTCACGCAGCACTAATAATCATTTTGTTTCAGTTACTTCAAGAAAAAATCAGCTTGTGTGATGACAACTGTCCACACACACTTCGATCAATTATTAGATATTATATGAAATACATTTTCACAGGAAAAGCAAAACCAATAAGAAACTTTTCTTATACTGCTTACGATTAAGTGTGCATGTAGCAGTTTCGTGTTAGATTTTTAACCAATAAAGTCTTAGTTAGTCTGGACCAATCATTTTTCACTTTGGATAATGCTGAATTTATCATGACCTTTCAGTCAACAGTTTGATTGGTTAATTGAGAAGTGTTCTGTTCTACTGTTGAATAATTCTGACCTTGTTTCTGTGTCAATAAAAAAAGAAGCTTAAGCCATCTTTTGTGCTCATGATTTAATGAGTTGGCGTGTGATTTAGTAATCACACATATGATGCTTATCATATCTTGTGTGCAACGTACAATATAGAGAATTAAGACAAACCATTAAAATCGTAATGGTTTGTTAAAAAAACGTGTACAGTACAGAAGTGAAGTGTGTTTGAGCTTACAGTGCAAAATATAGGAGGTGACAAGGATTTCTGCCAACTGTCTGCAACAGTCTCATTACAATTCAGCAGAATGTTGGCCATATTGCAAACTTTACTGACAAACTTTAGTCTTTTTACGAGTTGATCACGGATTGATATCATTTAGAGAGCCAGTGAAAACCAGGGAGTACTGGACAGCCGTTTCATCCTAGTTTTTTGGGAATCATAGGTAGTAAGCACCCACTGGGGTTCGAACCCAGGACCTTCCAGTTACAAGGCAAGCTCTTATACCATTCATGGACCATTGGATAGGGTCCCGGGG